AAGTACTGCTGACTGGGCGAGTCGGCGCACGATAAAATGATATGGCTTTAGCGCAGCTCAGTTTGAGTGTGGAGGATAGGTACTATGCAGTCAAGAAGGGGAAAAACGCTGTCGTCCGTTTTTTCCCCTTCTTGACTGCATAGTGGCTTTCCTTCACGCTCAAACTGAGCTGCGCTAAAGCCATATCATTTTACCCTATACCCAGATGCCGCATTCGTTGCGCCGACGGGTGTCGCTTTCGATCTTATCTCTTACGGCTAGGTGGCGATAGCCGCCGCCCGATCTAAAGGGTACAGTCACATCCATCCATCCATCCATCCATCCACCCATCTGCTACCATTCCGTTCGTCTGCTCTTGCTGTTTTCGCTGCGCACGTGTGAAACTTTTTAGAATGCCTTGATGGTAAAATTTTCGGTGTTTGTGTGTGCGATCGCGCTCAAAGTGTCGATGAAAAGGATCCCAGGCGTGCTGCGCTGCTTTGTGGTGCAACGACTCGGGAAGAAACAGAGCAGCGAAAATTTTCCGCTTCTCAGCGGATGACTTGGCAAGCACGTGCACTTTTTGTTCGGTGCGAAGATGTAAGTGCTATTCTTATCAAAACAACTACAGGGCGAACCGAAAAATATTTGTTGTTGCTTTACATTGAAACTCTCTCCCCCCAGCCTTTTTTTTTGCACTGCACATTTGTTAGTAATGCTGAAAGCATTTAAAGCTACTTGCGGACACTTTCTTGTCAGTCCATTGATGCCAGCCGACGCGCAGACGGAAAGTTGGATTCAGTATCGGTTTTGTTTGCGGTATAGCTCGTAATGTTCCTTTCTTCTAGAAGAAATCTTGCGAAGTATGTTCGCCGACTGTGCTTCTTTGACGAATTGACCGCTTCGGTTTTAGAGCGTTTCGATGATCAGTTGCTTGTGGTGACTTTACCACATTTCAATCTTTAACAAAGAACCCCCAAATTCATTTGCTTAGCATTGAGTTCTTTCATTCCGTGTTACGAGAAGTTCGTGTTGCCTGTGCTAAGGGCGAGCTGCGCTTCGCTTTTGAATCTGTAAAACATGGTTTTCGCCCATTTTTTCGCACTCTCTATATTTGTGTTGCTTTTACGTGTTAAGTGATAACCATGTTGTTATTTGTTTCATTTCATAGGTGTGGCGTAAAGCGGAACGACACCAAAGGGGCAGACCTCGAGTGTCTCGCACGGAAGCAACTGTACGTACTACAACGACTGCCGCCTTTGCTCTGACCACTTTTCCGAAAGTGCCTTCGCAAACTCTGCCGAAACACGGCTGTTGTTGACGGTTAGTTCACACTGTTGGAGTGGAAGTGGGATCTCCGATGGCCCAAGGTAATAAAAACAACTTTGTGGTTGCGTATATGTGTGGTTTTTGTAGGTCGTTTTCGCGCACTTTATCGCCTGATGCATAATTAACGTTCCTTATTTACCCACGAGTTCAAGGTGTGTCCTTGACATTGTATTTCATTCTACCACGATTGCTTTCCTTCGCTACTTACTTAAACGAGATTGATATCTACCCTATACCTTGAAGGACCCTCCCTGGCAGAATTCACGGTTGCGGCGACTCATGAACACCCTGGCCTCATCGTCTAGAATCGCCCAGATTGCAGGTATGCTCAAGCCGGCTTGCTTGTTGATTTTTGGGCATTAGGGAAGGGGCATGCATTCTCGCTTTGTTTAGAACAAGTGTACGGAGTACGGGGCAAAAGTAAACTGCACAAAGCGCAAACTCACAATATATTGCGTCAAAGCCAGGTACTCGATTACTTTTTTTATTGAGTGCAACCGAAGGCATACTGATACATAGATCACCCTGCATTTGCATTTGATTGGCCTCAATAATCTCTCGTGTTAGCTGCAACGCTGTTTTGCGACAACGGTGCACTGTTCAAATTCTGGTCTTCAACCACAATATCTACAATGAATACACAGATTGCCTTGAACAGTTTTGTATACGTTGAGTAACAGCTGAGCACTCACTTAATTAACCCTCAAATCTGTGCAATCGGGTCACACACACACACACACACACACAAAAATGGCAGCATATCCACGGAGTGAATGATGGGGAGTGGGACGAAGCATTCGTCCGTCCATTCGTTCTTGCTTCCGTCCGTTCCTGCGTACGTCTGTGTAACCGTCCATGCGTCCATCCACCCGTCCGTGCGTGCGTCTGTTCGTGCGTCCGTCCCTGCGTTCGTCCATGCATCCGCGCCTGCGTCCGTTCATGCGCCCATCCATGCATCTGTCTGTGTGTCCGTTCGTCCTTCTATTCAGCACTCCAAGTACTACCATCTCGCATCCTTTCATCATATATTCTCCATATAGAAGCACCGCCATCCAGCGGACATTTCAAGGACTAAACGGGAGGTGGCACATGTACATTTTCTTACGGCTTGCGCTTCGGGTTTACTTCCCACCTTTAACCACCTCGAGTTCATCGTATATACTAGTTCACTGTATTCATGGCACTGCGGCCCAACACTCGCTAAACCTTCCTAAAACCAAGGAGGTTACACCCAGCGAGTATAACGTAGCAACCCTTTCTTGTCAGATCGTGCCTAATGTACATGCCAATAGCTGCTAATGGGGATAGCAGCGTGCGCGTTACCTATAGGCCGAATGCTCCTGTCTCTCATTCCCCCTTAGCAGCCATTAACATGTGCATTGAGCACTATCTTTCATTGTTCAACAACGCACAGAAGAAATCTTTCACCGGAACCACCTTGGAGGTCGAAATCGTAAGGACCGCTATTTCGGGTAAGTGCCACTGGTGGTTACGTACTACGAGAGACGCAGGAGCCACGCCATAAGGAGCTTCGCCTCTATAATCAGTCCTGCGTGGAAGGCGCAGCCCAGTCGCAGCGAAAGATATGGAAGAGCGGCCTTTCAGAGCCTTTTCTAAACACTCATTGGGTAACTGCTGCAAGCACACATGCTTGATTGCCACTGCAGCATTATTATTAAACATTTTTGGGTTGTGGGCCGGCGTTCGCTATGCTTTTTTCGTCATTCTTGTGAGAAGCGTGGTTGGTATACGCTTACACTTGCAAGGAATTTTGTGCCACTTGTTCACGCAGTTGCTGACGACGATGGGGAATTATGCCTGAAGTTGGTATATGCCACAGTTGATAGGTGAACAAGAACAAGCTTTTGTAATGGGTTGGAGCATTGGACGACCCACTCGTTACTCTATTCGCGTTGTGCGACGACTGGTTGTTCTCAGTTTGCTGTTTTAAAACTCTTTATAAGTCGTATTAACGCAATTGCTTTTTCGACATCAAGTCTGCCTAAGAAAAGTTTGCGAACAAATCCCAGGATACTTCACTGGTTCACTGGTGATGATTTAATGCATTATAGCAAAACAAAGCAATGGCGTGGCTCAGTGGTAGTATAGAGGGCTGGCATCCAGCGGACCCGGGTTCGAGCCCCACTGTGTCATTGGTACTAGGTTTTTTTGTTTTTGTTTTAATTTCGTGCGGTGTGGTTATGAACACCGGTGGCGGCAGCGGTGGACAACGGCAAGTGACCCGAGTTTTGATCTCGTAACAGCTTTCGCTGTAAAACATTTGAACTGCGCACATCACAACTTTACGATCACAAGATCACTGAACAACAGACAGGATCGAAATTTCTTTCGCTATTAAGGCAGCCGAAGGGTACCTGTCATTCAATGAGCTTACATGTAATCGTAAGTTGTGATGTGCCCAGTTCGAATGTTTTTTGGTGGCCGGATTGCGTAGATCGGCAGATTATTAAGTGAATGTTCTTCAAAAATAACCAGTTGTTAGATTGCGCCCGTTTGTGTGCCTCTTCTGTGTCCCCGTGTTCTTGCGCGAACATTTCAAGCTGTATATGTTCCAAGTAGGCGACTCCCAGTTTATGCTTCAGCTTAAAGCAGCTGTTAAAAGCCATTATCATGTAAACTGTGACACCTTTTTTTTTCTGTCCACCCCGCGCATAATATCTCTCTGGGAGCCTACTTGATATGTGTGGTTTAACGTCCCAAAACCACCATATGATTATGAGAGACGCCGTAGTGGAGAGCTCCAGAAAGTGTCGACCACCTGGGGTTCTTTAGCGTGCACCCAAATCTGAGCGCACGGGCCTACAGCATTCTCGCCTCCATCGAAAATGCAGCCGCCGCAGCCGGGATTCGATCACGCGACCTGCGGGTCAGCTACCGAGTACCTTAGCCACTAGATCACCACGGCGAGGTCTTTCTGGGAGTCTTGAGACATGCCTCAAAATATACATATCTTTGGTTGTACGAGCACAAACCACCTTCTAATTATGTGATAGGCTTTTGCCGAGGGCTCCGGAAATTATTTGCCATTGGTGTTTATAGTGCACCGGCTTCGCACAGTACGCAGGACTCCGACATTTCGCCTTTATTTAAACGTGACCGTCTCAGCCAGGGTCGAACGCGCGACTTTGCGACACACCAACGGATCGCTGTAGTCATGTTCCACAACGGCGAATGTGAGAGGTGCGAGTTAAAGGAACACAAACACGCACACAACGGAACATGCTTTCTTGTTGCAACGGATTCTAGAAAACGATGGCGTGACAACAGTTATGCAAACAATGGCACATATAACTATTTTAATTATTTGCTCATGTTCGTCGCATGATGGCAGGCCATGCCGGTAATAGGGTTGCAGTTCAAGAGCGGAATTAGGTGTACGTGACAACGCACCAACCTGGAAGCGTTCCGCACCGTTTCGGCTTAAAGCCACTTCAGCTCAGCAGATTAGGCATCATTCCGAGCCTGACTACCATGCGCCATCCGTCTGTTTTGTTTGTGTACGTCTTTTTCTTCGATTTCGTCGCTCCGCAGTATACGGCGGGCGCAGATCTCGCCGATAAGACGGCGACGGACGATATCGTGACGTAATGACGCGATCAATTCTGACTGCAACAACGAATGCGCGAATAGCGAAGCTATACACGCGGGCGGATGGCCTCAATTTTTCTCTAGCTGCTCGTCATGCTGCGCATTTCGCAGACGGCAGTTGTTTAGCGCCATGGAATGGCGATTTCCGTGATGTTAGGACGCGGGGAGCGCGATAGTAGCAGTACGTATACGAGTCGCGTTTCACCTTTTTGTTTCGCGTTTATGAACTTTACCTGGACGTATGGAACTACGCACAACAAACGACGTCGTCTGGAATTCACCGAGGACCCCGGCGAGCTTCGTCTTCGGCATCAAATTGGTGAGTTTCATAATGTGACAAGCCGGCGGGGGGTGGGGGCGTGTTCATCGAACATCGCTCGCTAATAGATTAGTTCGAGTGGCATTTAAGGCTTGGTTGCGTGTAACTTTAGCGGGCGGGTTCCTTGAACACGTCGCTACTTCATGGTCAATATTCTCGGGGACACAGGCGGGTAGGCTGAGCTCGCGGTTAGTCAGGCAGGTAAGGCAGGTAGCTTTTTGTGTCCTCGGGATTATTGCACGTGACGAACTGGACGGCCCGTGAAGCCTGTGCTGCCATTATTTCAAGCCAGTGTTTTCTGGTACGTAAACACGTGGTTGTCGCGGGCCGTGACACGTGGCCGGCCGGTTCGGCTTGCCGGCTTGTTGAAGACTGGAGTGCGAAGCGGTTCAAGCACTTCGTCTGGACTTCGCGTCGGGGCCCTGCTGCTGGCGGAGTGCAGGTTGGTTTACCCTATAACCGTTCACTCGTGTTTTGTTCGAGTGTTGCTTCTGCCGTGCTAACCCTTGCCCTACTTTGTTTTCTTTTTTAGCATTTCCTTTGCTCGTCTACCGGCCGTGGCTTCACGCTCAAGCGTTACTTGTGAGTCTGCATATATTTGTGTGAAAGCTCATCGTCTAACAAGTTTTGCTTTCGTTCCAGGAGCGCTGAACGCCGTACGTACTCGCGCGCCCCGCGCCACTCCTTCGCATCTTCCGCACCATCGTCGACGGAGTCTCTGGCGGACGTGCTACCGGCACTGCATCGAGTGAGCATGGCTTTACTATTCTCATGCGTAGAACAGTGCAAACATAGTAAGTGCGAAGGGCCGCTTTGCTTCAAGCTTTGTTAATCTGATCCAGGGTTCTCTGAAGGGTTAATGCGGAATCCTGGAAAGGGTGCCACCATCCGTAGCACGCGTATAGAGATGTGGCGTCTCACTCGTTGCGTTGATATAGCTAGCACTTGGGCTATGTTGTGGTTACTGTGGCCGTGGCTCTGTTAGACGCCTTTGTTTCAGCGTGTGCGTGCCGCGTGGTGCTTTTCAATTTAAATGCCCGCGCGGCAGCTAGTAAGCAACTTAAGCCCCCGTGGGCACGTGTGGTAGTTAAGATATGTTAATTTGCCTATTCTTTTCTTTGTGCTGGTCTATTACCGCACTTGAACAATGAGTAGCTTGCTTTGTCAGTTTACTCACAGGTGCACAGCGGAGGTAACAAATGCTCCTTGTGGCCTTAGTGAGTTGTGCTAAAATTCGGATACTCTTTTGCAATGTTTACGTTGAGCAGGCTTAATTTTCTCAATTACGTTGGGCCCTCAGTGAATTCATTGGCTGCAGTCTTACGAAGCAAATAAAGATGGTGATGCCGAAAGCAAATTTATTGGGTAGTATCGAAATCTATAATGGCTTGATTTTTCTTGCGTACGTATTTGTATACCTAGTATTTTCACATGCCCACCAACTAGCTCGGCTCTGCAAATTCTATCTTGATCTTGTCCACTATAATTATGAACCGGCAAAATGCTACTTGCGCTTAAATGCGTGCAGTGCCCGTAATTCATTCAGTGCCTTAGTGAGTTCACTGAACGAGTTCATTAATGAGGTTATTGCCTTCTCCCCAGGAGCACCGCCTTCTCGCACACCCTGGGTCAGAAGATCGCCTGGTGGGCATCCTCGTGGCGCTTCCTCAAGTAAGCACTTTCTCATATCTTGAAAAGCTATATTGAACAAAAAAAGGTCTTGCAATTGGCAGACTGAATTGCCGCAGTCGTTTTCTGAAAAGGGTACCATCGGCATGTCACTGTTATACCGAACATCCACCACAGTGACACGGCAGCTGGGGCGTTGGACCGATGGGAGCTAAGACGCAAACACTATGGTTGTTTGCGAGCTAGGGTAAATGCATATATTTTGTTATGAAAGAAGCAACGACAACATTGAAAACATATAACCCTTTGAGAACATTGAGGAACTGCTAGGTAAAAGCATGAGCTTTCAACATGGCTGTTTAGTATATTATTATAGGAAAAGACAATATTGGGCGAGAGAGGAATAGATCGACAGGCTGGGCACTGACTGTCTGTAGTTCTGTCAGTCTTGTCTAGTACAGGTTCTGATATTGATAAGTGCAGGATTTCGATCGACTAGCCACACACGAGGTTAGCGTTAGTGCCTTCTCCTGGTTGGAAACTACGAAACAAAGAAATACCACAGTTGCCTACCAGGGAGGTTTCCTTGAAGCTATAGAGTACGGCTTGAAGTTCCTGCTTAGTGTTGGCGTGCCTAGTGTCGAGAGCAACAAAACACGGTGAATACAAAATCTGACTCGGGAAGGATGGTGAAACGGCGAGAATAGCTAGTGCTCCACGAGACTACAATGCTCAATAGTACTTTCACTCTGGCCGTCAAAAATGTCCACCCTGTCGAGGGCAAGGCTCATTGCCAGCCTTGTTGAAAGGACTCCTGAAACCAAACGACACGTACAGCTTCACTGAATTATTACATTAGGGGGCACCATTCACAATTTTGAACCATTTCCATGTTGTCAAGTGCTGTGTAGATCGATTTTAATGTTGGCAGCTTGCATTCAAAACTTTTTCTGCCAAGACAGACAGCAGTAGGTTTTGGAAATGCGGGAGATATTGTGGCAAGTCTAAGTGTTGAATGTTTATAAGCTTGTATCGTGTCTGGTGCAGGAGTGATGGTTCACCGAAATTTCCAACAATTCAGCCCCATGTGTGCTAGCAGACTGTTTTGTGCATCCATATTTAACTTCGTCGCTCCACTTGGTGTCCATTGCGCTTATTCTGTTCTGATCGCATGACCTTCGCAGTTCTATTTCTTACAACAGAGTTCACAAATCAACCCATCCTTAGTTTTATCATAATAGTTCACACATGAACCTATCCTTAGTTTTATCATAAGCTTCAGCGTTACTGGCTGACATCTTTATACTTATTTTCACAATACTAGTGATCTAAGGTGTTCCTTTAACCAATAATTCTGCTTGCAATGCCGTGCTTCATTGGTGCCACTTTGCCATGGGCAAAGAGTTGTGCCACGTATTGGCCTCGACTGTGCCTTCTTAGTTGAGCTGTGTGTTTAACATGGTGCCTAACTGATAGTTTGTACATTAATTAGTGTGAAAAGACGATGCCATAGTGTCACTTTTTTCTCATGTGTTTTTGGTAGACAAGTCTTGGATGTGCCTTTGGCATTACAATACCAGGGTTTCCCTCAGCTTCTGACAGTAACTATTACATTACTAGTTCTAGCAAAGGTATACCATTGATACACTAGCTGCAGTTATGTGGTTGTGATCAGTATTTTCTGACTTGGCATCGTTTTGGTTAACCTTTTCTGATCTTGCTTGAATAGCCGTTATTTACATGTTGCCAATTACAACGAGATTTTGCGGTTTCACCCTTCACATAATAATTTGTATTTAAAACATCATACTTTTATATGGACACCACTAATGTCCAGGTGATACAATATTCTCAGACCTGTTTTAAATCTTTTTCATCTTAACCAAGTTAACTGCTACTCTCTAAATTATGCAAATCATTACAAGAATGTCTTTAGTTAATTGCAGCTCACTTGGAAATTATGACAAGGCTGTAAATTTTGTTCTGAGCACTTCGATTAGAGGTCTGATATACTGTTCAAATTTGAGTTTTATCTATTACGGCTTCACCTGTGAATTGGGCCCGATGCCTTCGCTATAGAACACTCTAATTGCTTACAGCACGATACTAGGCTAGGACGAAAGAAGCCACACGGTGCTTTCAGTAGTGTTGTTCATTTCTTTCCTAAAGCTCATTAAAGATGGAGTCAATGAACAGACCAAGCCTGCAGTTTTGCTATAACAATTCATGGAAATGGGACGTGCGAACCAAATGAACATTCAAGTATCTTTAAGTAATTGATTCACTAATGTTGGCTAACCATACCAACGAAGTGGCACCTTTATGCACATTTGTGTATTGCCAACTGATTTCTACTCTTGTAGAAAACCTCGTTAGTGACGTGCTCACCGTTTAGTTTTCAATTGCTTTTTTCCGGTGCCCTGTACTACAGCGTCTCTCATAATCGTATGGTGGTTTTGGGACGTTAAACCCCACATATCAATCCAATCATCAGTTGTCAATCACTTCAATGAGCTTTACTGAGAGATTGAGGTAGTAGTGATTATTACTGGTTGTCAATTGCATTGCCCATACCTTTACTTTGTAGCAGTCATTACAATTTAGAGATTTTTTATACTAGCCTTTACGCTTAAAAAAAAAAAGGGCACTTAAGTTGACAAGAATTCATCCTTAAAAATGGTGAGCCTGCAATCGCTAATGCAGATGGGGGCAAAGCGAGATGAACCGCATTTGTTCTCTGATCTGCGTTTGCACACCCACTCTCTGACGATTAGCCTCTTAGTAAATAGACTGCCTGTGTCGTCTCGTGCAGTAGCAAAAGATATTTTACTCTAATTTTTTTTGTAGAATAGGAAGTGAAGCTTTTACTACAAGACTTTGCAAACATATCGCGTGTAATTTGTAAAACATTATCAATAACCACTCTGTTTATTGTCCTTGCAGCTCTAAACTCTTCCCGCTGCTGGAACTAGCAACTACAGATGAGCCCATGATCAAGGAGTTCCATCCCCAGCAACTTCTCGGGGATCACAGCAAGCATCGTTACAGCGAGCTTCAACATCGGCATCATTGTCAGGTAAACCCACTAACGAGGTTTAAGAGTCTGTCTTCTCCCGTGACGGAAGCTCCAGGGTCCGCGTCCGTTGGGCAGATGGGAATGTAGCTAGTTGTTAGGGAGCTTCTGTCGTGGGGGTAAGACCTTTTCAGGTTGCTGTTGCACTGCCGGTCACCGATCCGTGCCAGTTTCTTTCCTGGTGCGAAATGCGGCTTTCGTGAATGCACTGTGGCAGCGGCAACTGTCGTCTCGGCCTGTCAAATGTTGGTCAGCGTCGACTCCATTTGGCACGCCATGGCCGTACCTCTAACGATTCAGGTATGGTTTCTACTTTTATCTCGTTTTCTCGTTGACTTGCGTAGTTGTCTGTAATGTTTAAGTCTGCGTATATATCTTAATGCGAAATCTAGTTCAATTCTGCAATATAGTGATCAAATTAATTTCTTCAGGTCACGTAAAAGAACACGAGGTGGTCAGAATTTCCAGTGCCTTCCATTGGTATTCTCATAGTTACTATGTTTTTGTTGTAAATGCCTAATAATTGTCTAATCTATCTAGTTCCTTGTTGCTGCCAACTTGTAAAAGGCTCGAATCCATCTTCGAGCGTTGCTCGCTTTGTCTCGTGCCTCCTTGTATTTATTAAAAAAACAGTAATACAAGATTGCTTTATAATAGTCAGTCCTTCAAATTTGTGTGCCAATGCACTGTCAATTCTTACTAGTTTATTTTCTCACGTAGGTGCATCATGGTCTCTCCTAGAGACCTGATCGAGATTTCTGGGTCACTGTTGAAGGTGGGTTCCTAACATGCTTTTAACAGTATTTTTTTTCTTTTATAGTTACCTAGTTCGCTCTGTCCTACAAGTGGCACAACACTAAACCTCTCTGTATAGCGGTTATAACGGTGTAAATGTAGTCTTGCAATTTAGTGTTAAAAATCAACCTTTCTAATGCACTTTCTCATATAAGAAACTTGTTTTCGTGTGGGATGCAACGTTTTGTAACGAGGCCTGAGTATGACAGGACATGCGCAGGTCTTTTCGTCTGTCCACTCTTTCCA